ATTTTGTCCCCAAGCCTCTTTAACATATGTGCAGAATTTATGGATGTGAATCATGGGAAGTTAATGCTTCTGACAAGAAGAAAACTGAAGCTTTTGAAATGTGGTGCTAGCAAAGATTCTAAGGTATCTCCTGGATAAAAAAACAAAAAATGCCTACATTATAAATATTAATGGAGAGGAAACTGATGTCAACAGATGGAAACTTATGTACTTTGGTCACACTAGGAGTAGATATGGAAATAACCTGAAGAAAGTTACTATGGAAGGAATGGTGGAGGGTCATGACAGTAGGGGTCAACCAGTGAAAAGATGGATGGATGGTGTGCACTGGGTCTCTGGAAAGTTAGTAATGGATTGAGAAGACTTCTCGCAATTCTGTCATGTAATAGTAGTAGGCATCCTTCAGTCTCGAGAGACCATGGGTATGCACTCCTGAGAGATAAAGAATTTACTCAGTTGGCTTTTTGGCAGCCGCAAACATGGCTGAAGAGACCCACTTGAGAGAAACAATCTCTGCCGCATCTGTCACATTTAAAGGTGACGTTTCAACCTTTGGGCTCTGCCTTCTGCAAGCTCTTTTCTCCTCTGCTAAACTGGATGGCTTCCTCTCAGAACTCCAGACACCTTTGTTAAGCTCTTGTTTCCAAAGGCTGTGGTCTTGAGTGTGATCTTCCCATTTGTCCACCTCCATGTCCATTTCTTTAAGGCCTCGCTTGCACACATCCTTGAAACACAATTTTGGGCATCCTTTGGGTCTTTTACTAGATGCCAGTTCGCCATAGAGGATGTCCTTTGGTATGTACCCATCACTCATTCAGCACCCATGGCCAAGCCAGCAGAGGTGTCTCTGAGGAGTGTTTGTATGCTGGCCCTCTTGAGCACCTCAGTGTTGGTGACTCTGTCCCTACAGGAGAGTCCAAAGATCTGATGAAGGCAACGCATATGAAAGCTGATGAGCCTCTTTTCCTGATGAGCGTCTAAGGTCCCTGTCTCACTCCCATACAAAAGTGTGCTGATCACACACGCTCCACACACACAGATCGTTGTGTGTTCTGTCCGTTTGTTGCTTTGCCATACCCTCTTGTCTAGA